CAAATGATCCTCTTGCCTCAGCCCCCCGAGTAGCTACAGGTGCAAGCCACCACGCCTGGCTAATTTTTTTTTTTTTTTTTTTTTTGGTAGAGATAGGGTCTCACTATGTTGCCCAGGCTGGTCTTGAACTCCTGGTTTCAAGCAATCCATCTGCCTTGGCCTCCCAAAGTGTTGGGTTTACAGGTGTGAGCCACCATCTGGGCCACCAAAGGGTATTTACTTGTATTACATCTGTAGCTCCTACCCTACATGTAGAAAAATCTGGTTCTTACGGACACAAGACATGAGAGTATTAGAATATCCCACAATTACTTAGTTGCTTTCTAGTCAACATATTTTAAGTCCCTAGGTAAATTAGCACACTCTCCACTTCCATCAACACAGAGGATGCTACAAGGCAATGTTTAAACACATGTATGAGCATCAGCCACTTCCAAGAATGGAACTGTCCCAGGAGCTCTGTGTGGTCACCAGGCTGGGGGCTGCAATAGAGGAGAGGAGCACAGCTTTAGCAAGAGAATGAAAACGCACCTTTCCTTCTCTCCTCAGCAGCCCGGCCTGCCCTCTAGTGGAGATGCTAAAGAGCACAGGAAACGCCAAGGCAGGTCAGGCAGGAAGTCAATCAGCTGACATTTACTTAGCAATTATCAGACATGGTCTTAAAATGGGTGCTGAAGGTAGAAAAACCTCTCTGTGGCTTTACGTGACTTTAAGCGCAGCTGGAGAGAGTAGAGGTTACCCAAATGAAATGTGTTTCACAAACTGGAACCAAGCAAAGTACCAAATTTCAAAATCGAGAGAGGAAAGGCAAAACTGAGTGTATCAAAGTGACTTCACTATAATTATTTTTAAATATATGCCATTTTATTTCTTTCAATAGGCATATAGTATGCCCTAAGATATAAATGCTCTTATATAGTTTGAAAAACATTACAGGTCATAGTGAGATAAGTTCATAGGCTTAAAAATCTTTTTCACGTAAAAAAAATTAATCAGTGGATCCAGTGATTAATCCTGTATCTTTCCCATTTGATGCAATGTGAAGGAAGACTCATTTTGGTCATAAAACCTCAGATTTTTTAACATTTACCATGACTTTTAAATGTTTTATTTAATAATGTACAAGTTCCATGTTACAAAAGCTTGAATTAAAAGATTTTATTCAGGTTTAAACTAACTTGTAAGAAGGAGAAAAAGAGAATCAAAAAATGAATTGTTAAAGAAACACGCTTAACAGAAGTTTTTTGTTTTTCTGGACCTCAGGTGCTGTAATTGTATTAATCAGAATCCTTTGTACAAGCTACACTTTTGTCACTGGTTCATGAAAGCCTTCTCGACTTTGTTTAATGGTGTAATGAGGTAAGTATTATTATACTTTTTTTTTGTCCCTTTGAGACAGGGTCTCATTCTCACCCAGACTGGATGAATTACAGTGGCTGATCATGTCTCACAGCAGCCTCAACCAGACTCAGGTGATCCTTCCACCTTAGCATCCCGTGTAGCTGGGACTACAGGTGCAGCTAAATTTTTTTTTTTTTTTTTTTTTTTTTTTGTAGTTTTTGTAGAGATGGGGTTTCATCATGTTGCCCAGGCTGGTCTCAAACTCCTGGGATCAAGCAATCTGCTCACCTAGCCTCCCAAAGTAGTGGGATTATAGGTGTGAGCTACCATGCCTATTATACTTTCTAATAAAAAACTGAAACCACATTGTTTTTGCATTTATCATGTCACCAGAAGAAATGACTATCATTTTTTAGAAAACTTAAAGATGTAGTTTGCACAATTTCCCATGGTATAAAAATAAAAGGCTACAACAATCCTATACCAGGAATACGTACTTTAAAAAAAAAAAAAAAAAATTGAAGGCCAGGCGCAGTGGCTCACACCTGTAATCCCAGCACTTTGGGAGACTAAGGTGGGCGGATCACCTGACGTCGGGAGTTTGAGACCAACCTGAGCAATATGGAGAAACCTCATCTCTACTAAAAAGACAAAATTAGCTGGACGTGGTGGTGCATGCCTGTAATCCCAGCTACTCAGGAGGCTGAGGCAGGAGAATCGCTTGAACCCAGGAGGCAGAGGTTGCAGTGAGCCGAGATTGTGCCATTGCACTCCAGCCTGGGCAACAAGAGTGAAAAAAAGACTACAACACCATTTTAATAGCTACCTGGTATTTCTGTGTCTGTACTATATGGACCATAATTTCTTTAACCAATCCCATATTGTAAGATATTTAGATCTTTGTTTCCAGTGTTCCACTTTTATCAACAATTGCTATGTAGAACACACATCTTTTTTTGTCCTAAATTGTTTATTACGTATGAATTTTACAAACTTTATTTATATTAGTGGTAATGGTGGAGGTGGCGAGTATTGCACCTTTTCCAAGCTGCCGGGTGAGAACGACCAATAGTGTGGTGGAACTTACGGCCCTTTTCAAGGCCACGGCTCTTTCAGCCTGCAGATGTCAGCCCACACATCTCCCTGTGCTTGTGGACTGGTTTGGTGATCCATTGGGTGTCAGGATTTCTTATAGCTTTTGGAATGGATCGATGAGAATAACCTCAAAAAATTTGTATATGGAATATTCACCAACCCATTGAGAATTCAGGACTCTTAGAGCCCCACAGTGGCGTCCAGCTCACTCCTCTGCAATGGACTGAAGGCTTCAAGCAAATTTTAACTGGTTAACACCATGATGGACAGGCTCACTGTAAGTTGCACCCTTAGGGACTGGGCATTTTTGGCCACCACAGTGAACACAAATCCTATATATAACCTAACCTTGCTTGGCCTTGTAGCCCAGTTGGTGCGCTTTATCAGGCCAGGTGAGACGGGGAACCCTGTGGAGAGCAGAAAGCTGGTGTACTGCCAGCAGCAGACCCTCAGAAGAAAGTGTATGACATCAGACTGCAATTCTTTCTCCATAGCTTCTGGATGTACTTGTGTGCACCCATCTTGGCTTACCTGATGGCTGCACAGAGAAAGGAGAACAACAGTCTTAATGAGGGTCCAGGCTAGATTTCTGGAGGCAGTATTACTGGGTCAAAGTGCAAGACTGTGAGGAAGGAAGTTTGGTAGAGACAGCTTCCCTCTGATAATAAATTCTCCTGGGAAGGTGCAGACGTAAAAATAAACAAGTTATTTATGGGCATATTTGCTTGACAGGAATATCAAAAAATGAGGTTACTAAAAATAGACAACCAGGTTTGGAAGTCTGTAATTGAAACAAAGAACAATAGTGAACTATTTGTTGGTTCCTTTTCTTTTTTTAGAGACAAGGTTTAGCTCTGTGCCTAGGCTGGAGTGCAGTGGAGCAATCATGGCTCACTGCAGCCTCTACCTCCTGGGCTCAAGATTCCCTCCACCTCCTGGGCTCAAGATTCCCTCCTTCAGCCTTCCTAAGTAAGTTGGGACCACAGGCACACGCCACGATGGCCGGCTTTTTTTTTTTTTTTTTGAGCCTGAGTCGCTCTGCCGCCCAGGCTGGAGTACAGTGGTAAGATCCTGGCTCATGGCAACCTCCAAATCCCGGGTTCAAGCGGTTCTCCTGCCTCAGCCTCCCAAGTAGCTGAGATTACAGGCTCGTGTCACCACACCCGGCTAATTTTTTGTATTTTTAGTGGAGACAGGGTTTCACTATGTTAGCCAGAATGGTCTCAATCTCCTGACCTTGTAATCCACCCACCTCGACTTCCCAAAGTGCTGGGATTACAGGCATGAACCACCGCACTCAGCCTATTTTTTTTTTCTTTTTTGTAGACTGGGTATCACTATGTTGCCCAAGCTGGCCTTGAACTCCTAGCCTCAAATGATCCTGCCCCTAGGCCTCCCATAGTGCTGGAATTACAGTCGAGAGCCACCGCGCCCAGCTCACTTGTGGGTTCTTAAGCCCTAAATGCTGTTAGAGGAGGATTCTTCAGATCAACTAACGGAAGAGGCATGAAGTAATAAATTTTTTGATTTTGGATGGTTACTGAGAAAATAACCTCAATCGGCTAAAGAATCTGTAAGATTTGAAGGCCTTAATTTAAAAGACAAAGAATTGATAAAGGTATTGTTGTTGTTTGAGACACAGTTTCGCTCTTGTAGAGCCAGCTGGAGTGCAGTCGCGTGCTCTCGGCTCACCTCCGCCTGCTGGGTTCGAGTCTTCTGCCTCAACCTCCCGAGTAGGTGGGATTACAGGAGTGCGCCACCACTCCCGGCTAATTTTTCTTTTTTTTTTTTTTAAGTAGAGACGGGGTTTCACCGTGTTGGCCAGGTTGGTCTGGTCTCGAACCCCTGACCTCAGGGGATTCACCCGCCTCGGCCTCCCAAAATGCTGGGATTACAGGCGTGAGAGTCACCACGCCTGGCCAATTTTTTTAAAGATGATTCCGTCACATTCTGACAGAATGGAGGTGAAATCAATAATTAAATAAACATTCCGATTTTCCAGGCTGGATAACCCAGAAACCACGGTATCCTAAAGTCTCAAACCTTAAAGCACAGAAAGTAAGTAATCTGGCAATACGTGATGGGCGCCCAGCAGCCCACCTACATAATCAGTGGAGCCAAGCGCAAGATGAAAATGCCCGGCACCTGCTTTAAAATTAGTAAGAATTTCAAGACCGTTAACAGTAGAACATTAAACCAAGCATTATGGATGCAGAGTCCATCAAAGCTAGTCCTGGTGACAGGCTCAGGTCTCGGGGTCTGGAGACCAGGAGACGTCGCTCACTGAGAGAGGCCCCAGAAGGGACCAAGAAGGCAAAGAGCCCATCGACGCCCTCAGGAGCCGGCGCAGGGAAGCTCGCAGCTTTCCCAAGGGAGTGCCGGTTGCGGGGACTGAAGTTCAGCTCGGACCCTGAGCCTCTGAGCCCGGGACACCAAGGTCCTTCAACCCACACGCCTCCCCACCCAGCCTGGCCGAAGATCAGAGACGTGGCAAGTCCCGGCCTTGGACTCAGGCTTGTTACTCAACAACCGGCTGGCGGGGACAGGAGGCGGCGCGCGCACCCTGAACCCGCGGCCGGGGGCAGAGAAGCACCGCGAGGACAGAGGGTCTAGGGAACGTCTGCAAATCGCGGAGGGCCAAGGAAGCGTCTAGGGGGGACTGCCGGAACCGGAAAAGCTCTGAGAGAACAACGCGTGTATTAGGGAGCATCTGCAAAGACCGCAGCGGAAAGCCAGGGATTGTCTTAAGAAGTTGCCAGAGTGGTTAAAGGGAGGTCTAAAAGGGGCAGTCCCAAGAACAAGGCTTCTAAAACCTAAGCCCGGAAGGAATGTGTGGAAGCCTACTGGGACGCCTGGCACCCCTGAAGATAGGACCGACTGGCGCTGCAGCCGACGACAGGAGAACGGCTCCAGCTGGACGGAGGAAACAGTGGGGAGAAAGGGGGAGGTGGGGCCTTGGGCACTGTCTGAAAAGTGCAATGCCAAATGATCTTTAGGGACAGACAGTAAATTGTATCCCTTGCTAAAATACCTCTCGGTAGTGAACCACCAATTATTTTTTTTTAAGCCCTGCCTTTCAGCCATTACGTCTAGTTCGGCGGTCTCTGATCCAAAAAGCTGCCAGTTCCCACTTACTCCTCCCCAACAAGGGCGAAAGGCCCGCCTCCGGTGCGGACTTTCTCCTACCCTCAGGCCTCTGGCTCATTCTCCCGCCTATCTATCAATCACCGCGCTCGGCTGTTCAGTTGGCTGGCCAAGGGGGCGGGACCGTCGTGTGACGTTTGCAGCCCGCCGGCCAGGAAGCCGCGAGATGTGTGACGAGGTAGGCGCATGACGGAGGAGCGGTTGGCCAACGCAGCGGCAGCAGTCGGTGTAAACAAGGCCTCGCGCCGCTGCCGGTCCTGCGACCGCTCCTGGCTGGTGGGTGGTCTCCCGGGGGGCGGTAACTGCCGGCTTCAGTGGGAGGTGCTTCTTGGCTTCCTCCCCTTCTTGGCGTACACACCCCCGGCGCACCACGTGGGCGTGAGGCAAGGAAGAGGTGGGGGGGTAGGCCAAATTTTATTTTCATTGGCTGTCACTGCTGCCGGCTTTCGTAAGAGAGCGCTCTGATTGGTCGGTAAGAGGGGGCGTCGAGGGTCTTTGAGTCTTAAGGCTTCTAATTGGTTAGATGAGATAAGCTAGTGACGCTCTTTCTTCCTCGAGGGGCTTCGATTGGTCTGTCAGAGAGGTTACCTGGGAATCCAACACCGCCCAACAACCCTCCCGCTCCCCAGTTCTGGGACTTTAATAGGTGAGTTTGGTGTAGAAAACAGAAATCCTTCTAAAATTGGTGAGGTAGGGTAGCGCCCTACGCTTCACTCTCACTTTCTTTGCTTCACAGGATTGGGGAAGCTTTGTGTTCCCGACGCCTTGGTAGTTGGCATAGGCTAAAGAAAAGGGATCTCAGCCCCGAGGAAGGGTCACCCTCCTATAGATAGCTACCCCATCTCGGGAGACCCTGGTATTTCTAGAGCACGCTTTACTTTCACCAAACCCAAGGAGGTGACAGGAGGAGCCCCCGCACAGGACCTAAGAATGCTGTGACCAGAAGATGGGATCACGGAACAGCAGCAGTGCGGGATCCGGGTCCGGAGACCCCTCCGAGGGTTTGTCCCGAAGAGGGGCTGGCCTGCGTCGGAGTGAGGAAGAGGAAGAAGAGGATGAAGATGTGGATCTGGCCCAGGTACTGGCCTATCTCCTCCGCAGGTAACTTACCCTCTGGTGTGACCCCACCAGGTGCTACCACGGCCCCTTGATCCCAACTCCAGGCAGGAAAATTAGAGAGGTTAGGAAATGGGATTTGCCCAGAACAGCCGTTCTATTTGTACGGAACAGTCTTTCCCTGTTGGGCACCCATGGCATGCAGCCCCATACCCTAGGGAGGGTCACCAAGAGGACCTGCTCATGTGTTTGAGGGACTATTCAAGGGAGCCTCTCTCGCTATGACTAAACAAATATAATCTATTTTCCAAGTAAGTTTAAAACAAAATGGAGCCTGGTGGGAAAGGAGTGATGTAAGGGGTGAAGAGACGGGAAGGGAGTGTTGAACTTTTTAGTAAGGCATTGACACGTGATATGAGGCCACTCTGATTACTTGAAAAACATGTTTAAATTGCCCTGACCTGTTCTTGAGGAAAGAGTACCTTGAACAGAGAGACCACCTGGAGTTGACTGGAAGAGTGCAGCTGGCTTTGTTTCTTTCCTTATGGCTATTTGCGGGGAAGATGAGCATGGGGGTCCCTTCTGAATATTGTAGTCTTTTTTGTTTGTTTGTGTTTTGTTTTGTTTTCAGTAGACATAGGATCTCACTGTGTTCCCCAGTCTGGAGAGCAGGCTATTCACAGGTGTGATCACAGTGCACACCACATCCTGGGCTCAAGCATTCCTTGCCTCCCAGGTAGCTAAGACTACAGTTGCACACGCCACTGCACCCAGCTTATCATATTGTGTTCTGTGGTGGACTTCTCAGGCAGAGGCTCAGAAGGAAACACTGTGAGAATGTTTAGCTCATTGGGAGGTCAACTTAGTAGGTCATGTCCGCAGCATATTGGTTGTGCTCTTGCTCTAAGGAAATGCTGTTAGAATGTTTAACTCGCTGGGAGGTCAACTTAGTAGGTCATGTCCACAGCGTGTTAGTCTTGCTCTTGCTCTAAGAGTAAGATTCACTTTCCTACTGTGTTTTATAGGAAACTGAAAATAACAGCCAAGATCTAGTCATCCTGAAACCTCAAAATGAGTACCAAGCGGTCTAAGAGCTAGATAGCCATTGACTCTGAATTTATTGGTTTGAGGGAAGAGGTCCCCTCCTTTATACTGGGGGTCTTTCCACAGAGGCCAAGTGAGGTTGGTGCAGGGAGGAGGTGCAGCAAATTTACAATTCATTCAGGCCCTCTTGGACTCAGAGGAAGAGAATGACAGAGCTTGGGATGGTCGTCTTGGGGACCGATACAACCCACCTGGTAAGAGGAAAAGGCCCTAATGTTGGAAGACTTTTACTAGAAAACCTTTTAGTGATATTTTGAATAATACAATACATTAAAAGAAGGTACAATAATTTAGGGAATAAGGGAGTCCTTATAACCCCAGTATATTAAGCCACAGGAGTGGGCTTGGGTATGGTTCTGCTAACTGTCCCCTGAGGCTGAAAGACCTAGGATGAAACTTCTTGGTATTCACAGTGGATGCCACCCCTGACACCCGGGAGCTGGAATGCAATGAGATCAAGACACAAGTGGAATTGGCCACAGGGCAGCTCGGGCTTAGGCGGGCAGCCCAGGAACACAGCTTCCCTCGAATGTTGCACCAGGTAGGCTTCTCCACCTCCCAGCCTGGCAGCAGGACTGCCAAAGCAAGCCAGTAGCTCTGCCAGCCCCAGAGAAAAAGAAAGTAAACTTTTCAAGGCAGTCTCAAGGGCTAGTGCTGGGGAGTTAACCAGCCTCCATCAGAGTTCTGTGGGACAGACTATGGCGTGTTGTGTCTATTTCTATAACAAGAGCAAGATCTTTGGAGGAGGGGGCTTGATATGGCTGAAGTGGCCCTCTGTTTCTGCTAGCAATATTCCCCAATCCCTTCCATTTAGAGAGAACGGGGCCTCTGCCACCAGGGAAGCTTCTCCCTTGGAGAACAGTCTCGAGTGATATCTCAGTGAGTATGGGGCTTGGTGAAGAGACTCTAAGGGCCAGATAAGTTTTATCTCCTAAAGTTTGAAGGAGATATTAAAGGTTAGGTTAAATGGGGTTGAAACTTTGAGAGTAAACAAACTGGAAAAGTATAGAAATTTAAAGGATGGTGGAATGGTTGAAAGACGGGATTGCACTCACAACCAAAAGAGAATGACTTTGTACTGATATTCTAGCTCTGTAAAGATTCTGCTAATTGGGATACTCCTTATCCTGAGCACCCCTTATCCTCACTTTCTCTCTCCTTCCCTAGCTTCTTGCCCAATGATCTGGGCTTCACTGATAGCTACTCTCAGAAGGCTTTCTGTGGCATCTACAGCAAAGATGGTCAAATATTCATGTCTGCTTGCCAAGGTACCAGACCCTGGTCCTGTCAACTGTCTTTTCCTGGAACATGGAACGTTCCCTCTGACTGAGGCTAGAAAGCCACAGACAGGGAGCTCAGACTTGGCTTAGGGATGCTTACCCAGAGCATGTTTCCCATGATAAAGCGAAGATTCCACAGGTACAATGAGTGGCAGACCTCTAATCTAGGAAAGTTACAAGGAAAGTGTTCCATAATTCTGCCTGATCTCTACTTATACAGACCAGACAATCCGACTGTATGACTGCCGGTATGGCCGTTTCCATAAATTCAAGAGCATCAAGGCCCGCGATGTAGGCTGGAGCATCTTGGATGTGGCCTTTACCCCTGATGGGAACCACTTCCTCTACTCCAGCTGGTCTGATTACAGTGAGTATGCACCAGGCCTCCACTGTCTCTCCACCCTGAGACCTGAGGTTTCCATGTGCTCATCCCCTCTGAGCCAGGATTCCTCACTTTGTCCAGGGAAGATCACTCCCAACGTGCTCCAACATCCTTGTCCTTTGTTTGATCTCTTCCCTAACTTCATGTCCACTCTCCTTCCCCCATGCCTGAAAGATTCTTGTTTTTCTTGCTGTCTTAGTTCATATCTGCAATATCTATGGTGAGGGAGATACACACACTGCGCTGGATCTCAGGTACTGGCTTCCCTTTCTGGTCAGACTCATCAGAAACTTCTCAAGGGAAGCTCTTCAGGAATAAACCTCTGAGTTGGAAGTTCTGCTTAGGGGGAAATGTATACTGGTGGATCTGTGTGGATTCCTGGGAGGGAAGCAGCATCCTGTCAGCCAAAGGATTGGGTAAATGGATGGTTGCAGGATTGTTTCTGGGTTCTCACTGAGGATCTGCATTGTGGTGCATGTTAACCAGACTTCTTTTTTCCCCTGGGGATATGCCTTACAACCATTGTCAGATTCTATGTAAATTAGCAAAAGCTGAAGGGAAGTCCACTTAACCCAGTTCCTTCTTGCTTTCAGGCCAGATGAGCGTCGCTTTGCTGTCTTCTCCATTGCTGTCTCCTCAGATGGACGAGAAGTACTAGGAGGGTGAGTGCTTGTGGGGTATGTTTCCCTCAACTAACAAGATGGGGGTTCCCCCAGAGATGAGCTCAGCTGTACACAGATGGCACTGGCAGCTGCAGAGAAGAACCAGATCTTCTCCAAGGTCAGGATTTACAAGTTGGTTCACCTCTTGCTCTCCATCTCCCCCGCACGAGAGACTCCTTGAAAACACAGCTAACTCTTCCCCCATGACCCAGAGCAGGATTTCTCAGTGGGGCTCTCTAGAGCACATACCACATTGATCCTCACGATCACGGCTCCAGGACCCTTCTTTATTGCTTCCCTTTCAGGGCCAATGATGGCTGCCTGTATGTCTTTGACCGAGAGCAGAACCGGCGCACCCTTCAGGTATGGCTCCTAAGACAGAGCCTCCGCCTCCTGGTCTTTGGCTTATTATAAGACCTAGAAAGAGATCTTATATTCTGGCCTCCTTTTCACCTAGATTGAGTCCCATGAGGATGATGTGAATGCAGTGGCCTTTGCTGATATAAGCTCACAAATCCTGTTCTCTGGGGGTGATGATGCCATCTGCAAAGTGTGGGATCGACGCACCATGCGAGAGGATGACCCCAAGCCTGTGGGTGCACTCGCTGGACACCAGGATGGCATCACCTTCATTGACAGCAAGGTGGGCCAGGAAACAGGACTGCAAAAAGCCTGTTTTAGCCAGGCTACTAAAAGTTCTGGTTGCTCAGGAGGGCATGAAAATAGACTGGTGTGGGAATTTGACAGTTCCTTATTAGCCAATGTTTATAAGGGTTGGAGTTTAGGGTAGGGGCTCAATCTAGGGAACATGAATTCCATCTGTTCTCACCAGTCCTAAAGGAGTAGGACAGGGCTTTCTGTACAAGAAAAATCGTAGGTGGCTCACACCAGTAATCCTATCACTTTGGGAGGCCAAAGTGGGAAGATCGCTTGAGCTCAAGAGTTTGAGAACAGCCTGGGAAACCTAGTGGCCTTTGTCTCTATTTTTTTTTTTTTTTTTTGGATTAAATATTTTTTAAAAAGGAAAATGGAAGACAGTCTGATCCAGGATAGAATAGGAAAGCCAGCCAGTAACCTGGGCACAGAAAGGAAAACCCAGCCAGATGGTAGACTCTGAGGCAGAACAATAAAAATGAGTTCACCTGGATAAAGAAAGAGGCAAGCAAAACCAGAGGCTGGAGTTCTGCTCAACTAGAGAATGGGTACTAGACTGACAGGTGCTGACATTTGTAAGCTCTGATGCTTCACTATCCACATTTGGATTCATAGGGTGATGCCCGATATCTCATCTCCAACTCCAAAGACCAGACCATCAAGCTCTGGGATATCCGACGCTTTTCCACACGGGAAGGCATGGAAGCCTCACGCCAGGCTGCCACACAGCAAAACTGGGACTATCGCTGGCAGCAAGTGCCCAAAAAAGGTGAGACTGGAAGTACAGGCACAGTGGATTTGTCTGTAGCTGGGAACCCTGGAGCCCTCCCCCTCAGCCCTCTTTGCCAGGCATTAACGCTTTATTTGCTAAATCGTGGATGGGATGGCCAGAGGTTCCTAGGATTGGGGCCTGGATGGGGGTCACTCAGAATCAACCAATACAAAAGTATTTGAGTATGATTAGCGAGCTGGGACATACTGGAGACTGTCCACTGACAATTAGGTGGAGAAAGAGCCACCACTTGGGCTGGGCGTGGTGGCTCAGGCCTGTAATCCAAACACTTTGGAGGCCAAGGCAGGCAGATCACCTGAGGTCAGGAGTTCAAGATCAGCCTGACCAATATGGTGAAACCCTATCTTAAAAAAAAAAAGAGCCACCACTTGAAGGTTAGAAAGATAGTTTTCTCTGGGCACACATGCTTGCTCAGGACTGGTGACACAAAACAATCCCAAAGCAGATTCCCTAACCTAGGGCTTACCCTGCATCCCTACCCAGCCTGGCGGAAGTTGAAGCTCCCGGGAGACAGCTCCTTGATGACCTACCGGGGCCACGGAGTGTTGCACACCCTCATCCGCTGCCGGTTCTCCCCTACTCATAGCACCGGCCAGCAGTTCATCTACAGTGGCTGCTCCACCGGCAAAGTGGTTGGTAAGGATTGTGTCAGAACAGGGGGCCTCAGGAAGGGCAGGAATGACTCTTTCCCATTCTGCCTATAACCACCACTGACCACCTTAAAAAGCCCACAGACAGCTACAGGTAAAATCTAATTTAGCTTGGAGGCTTAAACAGAGAAATAGAAAACATTCTATTCTTCAGCATTTTAAATTAAGAAAAGGAACATAGAACTCTAGCCAGTAAATATAATAGACTGCCAAAAATATAGTTGGTTCTGTTTTTCAGCCAGTCAAGGAAAGAGGTTGCAGATGAAAGGTAGAAGGGAACAGAGATAAAATGATACAGGAAGATGGTAGCAAGTAGTAAAGGACATGCAGTTGCTGAAGCAGAAAGAAAGGAGAACCTGGGCGCGGTGGCTCGCGCCTGTAATCCTAGCACTTCGGGAGGCTGATGTGGGCAGATTGCTTGAGCCCAGGAGTTTTAGACCAGCTACGGCAACATGGAAAAAACCATGGCTGGATGTGGTGGCGCAGGCCTGTAGTCCCAGCTGTTTGGGAGGCTAGGGTGGGAGAATCACTTGAGCCCAGGAAATCGAGACTGCAGTGTGCCATGATTGTGCCACCACACTTCAGCCTGGGTGACAGAGTGAGAAACTGTCTCAAAAAAAAAAAAAAAGGAGGGCTGGTGCAGTGGCTCACACCTGTAATCCCAGCACTTCGGGAGGCCAAGGCGGGCAGATCACCTAATGTTAGGAGTTTGAGACCAGCCTGGCCAACATGGTGAAATACCGTCTCTAATAAAAATAGAAAAATTAGCCAGGCATGGTGGGAGGCGCCTGTAATCCCAGCTACTTGGAAGACTGAGGCAGGAGAATCGCTTGAACCCGGGGGACAGAGGTTGCAGTGAGCCAAGATCGCGCCACTGCACTCCAGCCTGGCAACAAGAGCAAGACTCCGTCTCAAAAAAACAAGAAAAGCACAAGCACAGCTACAGATATAAGGAGCCTAAGGCAGGGCAGTGCTATCCCTAGGGAGACACTCACAGACCCATAACAAAAGAAAGATGTACTCTGTCTAGACAAGTACACACTCCAGACAGCTCAGTTTTCACTTTTGTGGTGACTTCCATATTTTACTAAAAGCTTTAAAGCTAGTGCATTTTCTTAACTGTAGCCCCTATAAAATTTAGCTAAGCAGGCCGGGCGCGGTGGCTCACGCCTGTAATCCCAGCACTTTGGGAGGCCAAGGCAGGTGGATCACGAGGTCAAGAGATCGAGACCATCCTGGTCAACATGGTAAAACCCCGTCTCTACTAAAAGTACAAAAATTAGCTGGGCATGGTGGCGCACGCCTGTAGTCCCAGCTACTAGGGAGGCTGAGACAGGAGAATTGCTTGAACCCAGGAGGCGGAGGTTGCGGTGAGCCGAGGTCACGCCGTTTCACTCCAGCCTGGGTAATGAGCGAAACTCCGTCAAAAAAAAAAAAAAAAAATTTAGCTAAGGACCAGAAATACCCATACCACTAAACCATACCCTCAACCCAAGGTAGGGAAAGGAACAGGGATAGAAGTAGAAATAACACAGTCCTCTGGTGTGGGCTCTGCCCCAATGGGAACATGGGAAGTTGCCTGAGAGGCAGGTCAGTGGTGCTACTCATGGGGAGGTGAGGGAGAGTTTAGAGTCTTACGGTGGTCCCTCTCCACTCTTGCCTGTCCTGGACAGTGTACGACCTTCTCAGTGGCCACATTGTGAAGAAGCTGACCAACCACAAGGCCTGTGTGCGTGACGTCAGTTGGCACCCCTTTGAAGAAAAGATTGTCAGCAGTTCGGTGAGGTTGCAAGGGTTGAGGGGGCTGGCACATGTCTGGGGCTTGGACTTGGGGGGCAGCATGTCCTGACTACTTGCCACCCTCTGCCCTGCAGTGGGACGGGAACCTGCGTCTGTGGCAGTACCGCCAGGCTGAGTACTTCCGGGATGACATGCCAGAGTCTGAGGAATGTGCCAGCGCCCCTGCCCCAGTGCCCCACTCCTCTACAGCCTTTTCCTCACCCCAGTAGATCTGACCTCCAGCCCCATATAGGGTGAACCTCTTGATAAGCTCTCTGCCTCCTCCTCCCTTTCTCCCTTGTGGGGAATGTTTGGAGGAATCACTGGCATTGGATGGGAAGAAACAGAAGCCCAGGCTCTGAGCCTCAGCTGAGCCCTAGAAGATCCTCCCCATGGAGCAGAGTGGTCTCCTCACATGCTCACACCCAGTCAGATTGAGTCCCTATCTCTGGCCAGAGTTTGGCAGGAGTGCCATTATCTGGGGTGTGGTCTCTGCTAGCAAGAGAAGTGTCCTGAGTGTTTTTTATCATGTTTGAATGTTAGAGGTTGGCTCCTAGAGTAGACGCCTGAGGCCACATCTGAACAGACCTGTCAGCCAGGCCTGTTGCCTGAATCATGTTGAGGATTCAACTGGCCAATCATAGGGCAGGTGTCCTGGCCTTTATTCCTGAGGTCTCTAGGGGAGGAGCATGGGTAAGGGTGTTTCCTCCGCACCTTCCTGGGGTAGGGATTATGACTGCTTTCGTGTCTGGGTCTTTGGGGTAGGACAGGCTGTGGTATGAGAGGCGGGAGTCTCCAAAAGGCTCCTTGTGGCCCCTCATAGGGCAGGCCCTGCCCTCTGAGAAGGTCCCATCATGCTGGAGGCACGCAGCTTTAAGGAAGTAGGTTGAAGTAGGACTCTTTCGTCCTCTCACCGGCTTTGGCTCCCTCAATAAACTCTGTGTGGGAACCTGGCTCAGTGTCTGTCTCTCTCTCACACTCTCTCCTTTTCCTATTTGAGGTCTTTCTTCCTCTCACTTCAGGAAAATACAGTTTCAACAGAGCCTTTTTTTTTTTTTTTTTTTTTTTTTTTTTTTTTTTTTTTTTGGTGGAGGAATGGAGTCTTGCTTTGTTGCCAGGCTGGAGTACAGTGGCATGATCTCAGCTCACTGCAACCTCCATCTTCTGGGTTCATGCGATCCCCCCTGCCTTAGCCTCCTGAGTAGCTGGGACTACAGGCATGGGCCACCACGCCTGACTAGTTTTTTTTTTATATCAAGAGATAAGGTTTCACCATGGCCAGGATGGTCTCCATCTCCTTACCTCGTGATCCCCCCGCCTCGGCCTCACAAAGTGCTGGGATTACAGGCGTGAGCCACCACGCCCAGCCTCAACAGAGTCATTAGCTGCCATCCTGTGTTGGAGAAAATACCCTTCTGATGCCCCATGATAAAGGGAAATACCAAAACCATTTGTTCACTGAGCCTTGCAGCAGGTGCTCCCTCACCAACTTCAGAAGCTTCCCTGCAAGTAGATAGCAAGAGAGCACACTCTCTGTTACAGCCTGGTAATACCGAGGAGGTGGAGGTTGCAGTGAGCTGAGATTGTGCCACTGCACTCCACTGCACTCCAGCCTGGGTAACAGAGTGAGACTCCCTCTCAAAAAAAAAAAAAAAAAAAAAAAAAAAAAAAAAAAAAAATTGCTGCTCTCAGATTCCTGGGATCAAGTGATCCTCCGCTTCAGCCTCCCAAATGCTGGGATTATAGGCATGAGCCACTGTGCCTGGCCATGAATGTTTTTTTGTTGTTTTTTTTTTTTTTTTTGAGACGGAGTCTTTCTCTGTCACCAGGCTGAAGTGCAGGGGTGCAATCTCGGCTCATTGCAACCTCTGCCTCCTGGGTTCAAGCGGTTCTTCCACCCCAGCCCCCCGAGTAGCAGGACTACAAGCACATGCCACCACGCCCGGCTAGCCATGCATGTTCTTAATGGCACCTAGAATGGTGAATCCTTTCCAGAAGGTTTTCAATTGACTTCGTCTATAGCTATCAGAGGAATCACTGTGGTAGCTATAGTCTTATGAAATGGATTTTTTTCTCTTTTTTTTTTTTTGAGACAGGGTCTTGCTCTGTCACAGGCTAGAGTGCAGTGATGCAATCTTGGCTCACTGCAACCTCTGCCTCGCCCTGGACTCAAGAGATCCTCCCGCCTCAGCCTCCCAAGTAGCTGGGACTACCAGCACCTATCAGCACACTTGGCTTGTTTTTGTTAATTTTTTGTAGAAATGGGGTTCAAAATGTATTTTTTAGACAATAAAACTTGCAAGTCACAATTATTCCTTGATCCATGAGCTGCAGAATGGATGTTGTGTTAGCAGGCATGAAAACAATCTCCCTTTATATCTCCAGAGTTTGTAGGTGACCAGATGCATTGTCAATGAGCAGTAATATTTTGAAAGGAAGCTTTATTTCTAAGGAGTGGATCTTAACAGTGAGCTTAAAATATTTTGTAACCCATGCTGCAAACATATGTGCCATCATGTATGTTTTGTTGTTTGATTTATAGAGCACAGCAGAATACATTTAGCATAATTCCTAAGACCCTAAGATTTTCAGAATGGTAAACGAGCATTGGTTTCAACTTAAAATCAGCAGGTGCATTATCTCCTAACAAGAGTTAGTCTGTCCTTTGAAGCTCTGTAGCCCAGCCTTCACTTCTGTCTAGCTGTGAAACTCCAATATGGCATCTTCCAATAGAAAGCTGTTTTGTTTGCTTTGAAAATCTGTTATTTAGTGTAACCACCTTTATCAGTGATCTTAGCTAGATCCTATGGATAACTTGCCACAGCTTCTACATCAGCACTTGCTTCTTCACCTTGCATTTTTATGTTATAGAGATGGCTTTTTTCTTTGAGCATTATGAACGAACCTCTGCTAGCTTCCTCACCAGTCTCAGTCTTTACAGAATTGAAGAGAATAGGCTGGGCTCAGTAGCTCACACCTGTGATCTCAGCACTTGGGGAGGCCAAGATGGAAGGATCACTTGAGGCCAAGATTTGGAGACCAGTTTGGGCAACATGGTGAGTGGAGGCATGCACATGTAGTCCCAGCTACTTAGAAGGCAGAGCAGGAGGATTGCTTGAGTTCAGGAGTTGGAGGCTACAATAAGATATGATCATGCCACTGCACTCCAGGCTGGGCAACCAAGCTAGACCCTGTCTCTCTCTCTCTCTTTTTTTTTTTTTTTTTTTTTTTAAGAGATGGGGTTTCTCCATGTTGGCCAGGCTGGTCTCGAACTCCTGACCTCAGGTGATCCGCCCACCTCAGCCTTCCAAAGTGCTAGGATTACAGGCGTGAGCCGCCGCACCCAGCCCAACCCTGTCTCTTTAAAAAAAAAAAGAGAAGAGAGGGCCCGGTTCTGGATTAGACTTTGGTTTAAGGTAATGTTGTGTGGCTGCTTTAATCTTCTATCGGGACCACTGAAACTTTCTCCATATCAACAATAAAGCTGTTTCACTTTTGTGTAATTCATGTGTTCACTGAAGTAGTAACTTAATTTCCTTCAAGAACTCTTCCTGAACAGGTGCAGCGGCTCACTTCCGTAATCTCAGCACTTTAGGCAAAGGCAGAAGGATCACTTGAGCCCAGGAGTTTAAGACCAGCCTGGGCAACATAGCGAGACCTCTGTCTCTACAAAAAATTTAAAAATTAGCTGAACTTGGTAGTATGTACCTATGGTCCGAGCTCCATGAGAGGAGGATCCCTTGAAACGACTGGGGAGGTCAAGGCTGCAGTGAGCTGTGATCATGCCACTGGATTAGGCTTTGGTTTAAGAGAATGTTGTGGCTGCTTTAATCTACCCAGACCACTAAACTTTCTCATGTCAGTAATGAGACTGTTTCACTTTTGTGACAGAAAGTGACCCTGTTTCAAAAAACCCCCAAAAACCAAGGTATTCATGTACTAACAATACATTTTAGACTACTAACAGTTATAATGAAAATATAATCCATAGGGGAAAAAATAACTCTTAGGGCTTTATGGTCACAGGAAAATTTTATTTTTACTCTGTTACTTTTATTTTTTGATATAGTCTTGCTCTTCCACCCAGGCTGGAGTGCAGTGGTGTGATCACTGCTCACTGCAACCTCTAATTCCTAGCCTCAGGCGATCTCCCCATCTCAGCCTCCTGAGTAGCTGGGTGGGCACCACTATGCTTAACTAATTTGTGTTTATTTTTGCATGGACAGGGTTTCACCATGTTGCTCAGGCTAGTTTCAAACTCCTGGGCTCAAGTGATCCTCCTGCCACAGTCTCCCAAAGGACGAGAATTACAGGTGTGATCCACCACACCCGGCCCAGAAATTTTAAAAAGTTAAATTTTTGCCGCTCCGCCCCGCGCGGGGCGTGTCCCGCCGCGCGCCGGGACCGGGGTCCGGTGCGGAGTGCCCCTCGTCCTGGGAAACGGGGTGCGGCCGGAAAGGCGGCCGCCCCCTCGCCCATCACGCAACGCACGTTCGTGGGGAACCTGGCGCTAAACCATTCGTAGACGACCTGCTTCTGGGTCGGGGTTTCGTACGTAGCAGAGCAGCTCCCTCGCTGCGATCTATTGAAAGTCAGCCCTGGACACAAGGGTTTGTAAAGAGAAAAGAAAAATAAAAAGAAAAAAAGAAAAGATATAAAAACAAATAAATAAATAAATAAATAAAAATAAAAATTAAATTTTTTAAGTTATATGCTTTTTTTTTTGGCAGAGAACTGTGATAAATGCTCAATAAAAGACTTTCAGGCATAAAAACATATTAGGATAAATTTTATGAGGGAGTTGAAATATAATTTCTTTTTTTTTTTTGAGACGGAGTTTCTCTTTTGTTGCTCAGGCTGGAGTGCAATGGCATGATCTTGGCTCTCCACAACCTCCGCCTCCTGGGTTCGAGCAATTTTCCTGCCTCAGCCTCCCGAGTAGCTGAGATTACAGGCATGTGCCACCACGCCCAGCTGATTTTGTATTTTTTGTAGAGACAGTGTTTCTCCATGTCAGGTTGGTCTCGAACTCCTGACCTTAGGTGATCTGCCTGCCTAGGCCTCCCAAAGTTCTGGGATTACAGGCGTGAGCCACCTCATCTGGCTAAAATATAATTTTTAATGTAAAATCTTGTGACATGTGTTTTAGTGGATAATGGTGAAGTATCTAAGCACTGTAATATTTAAATTTCATTGGATACATTTGAAAGAGTGACTTAATGGTTTTACTTTGAAATGTCAGTATGTAATACACTAGAACTACTTAAAACCACTATGAGACCAGGCATGGTGACTCATGCCTATAATCCCACCACTTTGGGAGGCCAAGGCAGGAAGATCACCTGAGGCCAGGAGTTCAAGACCACCCTGGTCAACTTAGTGAGACTTGGTCTCTACAAAAAAAAAAAAAAAAAAAAAAAAAAAAATTATTTATTTATTTTGAAACAAGGTCTCTCTCTGTTGCTTAGGCTTGGAGCACAGTGGTGCAGTCACGGCTCACTGCAGTGTCAACCTCCTGGGCCCAAATAATCCTTCCATTTCAGCCTCCCAAGTAGCTGAGATCACAGGCATATATCACTATGCCTAGCTAATTTTTTTTATTTTTGTAGAGACAAGGTCTCACTATGTGAGACCAGCTCAGGCTGGTCCCAAAGTGCTGGGATTACAGGCATGAGCTACCGCACCTGGCCAGAAAATTAAAAATAAACTAACCAGGCATGCTGGGGCATTTCTGTAGTCCTAGCTACTCACTCAGGAGGCTAAGGCAGATAATCACTTGACCCCAGGAGTTGGAGGCTGCATTGAGCCATGATAGCACACTGTATTCCAGCCTGGGCAATAGAGTGAGACCCTGTCTCAAAAAATAAATAATAAAAATTTAATAAATAAAAATGGGGGGGGTTTCTTGAGACAAAGTCTTGCTCTTTCACCAGGCTTGATCTTGGCTCACTGC